TGGTAGTCTTTTAGCTTTTGCCTTTTCTAGCTGTGTGACCTTAGCAGGACCCCGAGAACGAAAGGCTTACCTTCTCTGTCCTCATTGTCCTCATCTGTACACCAGCTTCCTAATGTTGTTACAAGGATTATATTATACAGGAAAAGAGCTTAGAACAGTGCTATGTTAGAGTTGGCTATAATTATTTAATCACACCAGAATGAAGGCAAACTCCATGTGAGCAAGGACCATATATTTATTAATTTGTGCATTTATTTGATACCAGGATTGAACCCAGGGGCACTTAACCACTGAGCCACATCCCAAGTTTTTTTTTTTTTTTTTTGAGATAAAGTTTCACTAAGTTGCTCAGGCTCGACTGGAACTTGGGATCTCCTATCCTAGCCTCCGTGCTCACTGAGATTCCAGGTTTGCACCACCACACGGAGCTTAATACATTTTAACATGGAAAGAGCAAAAACTTCTTAAACAGGGCACAAATATACTAATCATAAAAAGTGAAAAACAAGCCAGGTGAGGTGGTGCACACCTACAATCCCAGAGGTCTGGGACGCCGAGGCAGCAGGATCTTGAGTTCAAAGTTAGCCTTAGCAACAGTGAGGTATTAAGCAACTCCGTGAGACCCTGTCTCAAAATAAAATACCAAATAGGGCTGGGGATGTGGCTCAGTGGTCGGAAACCCGAATTCAATCCCCAGTACCCAAAACACTAAAAATAAAAAACAACAAATTTAGACTTCATTAAAATGAAGAATGTCCATTAAAAAATTCCAATAAATGAGTAAAAGCCATAGACAAGGAGAAAATATTCACAATATCTATTTTCAAAGGACTCACATCCAGAATCAGTAACTCTATAAGAAAAAGACAGTCCATTTTTTAAAAATAATAATAATGGGGAAAGACTATGAACAGGAGTTTCACCAAAAAAAAAAAAAAAAGGGATACCCAATGGTCAAAATCATTACTTATCAAGGAGATGAAAATTAAAACTCTTGCCCACGTCCTGCGCAGGGGAAGGAAAGGGTTTCCTTCCAGAGGGATGGACTGGCTGAGAAATAGAAGCTAAGAAAAGTAGTACCATAGAGCACTTGCAAAGTAGTACCATAAAATAACCACAGAACACAGAAAAGTACAGTATCAAAGCCAGAACAGCGATAGGCAAAGCTGACCAGATGGGTCCAGAAGGAAGCCTATGCTTACTTTATTTATATCAGGACACATCAAAGAAATTCTATAGAAAGTTCTTCACCAAAACAGGTGGGGGCAAGTATGCTGCTGGGTCCCTAGCAGGTCACGTCCCTCTCCAATACTGCATGAGACCTCTTAGCAGAACTTGGGGGAGAGGACGGTTTGCTTGCTTACATTTGGGCAATCTTACCCAATGGGACTGCCACAGGAGGTTCCCAATACCCAGATCTACCCCCTCAGTGGCCACCATGCTGAAACAGGTCTTCACACATTTCACGATGGCTTCCCGCATAAAATCACATCCTGCCTAGCAGAACAGCTAAAAATTTTCAAGTATGACAATATCAACTAAGGGAGAAGATATGGAACAACTGGAATTCTCATACATTCTAATGGGAGTATAAAATAGTACAGGCATTTTGGGAAACTGCCAGTGCATACTAAAATTAAACATATCCTAGGATCCAGAATTCAAGCCTAGAAAGCTTGAATAAGAATGTTCACATCAGCCTAACTCAAAGTTGCCCAAAAGTGGAAATAACACAAATGTCCATCAAAGGGTGTCATCTGCCACTGCAAAACCTTCTATATATGTCATTTAATCTTCAGAAAAACCCTATGAGGTAAATAATATGTCCCATTATAAAAACGAGGAAACTAAGGCTTAAAAAAGCTTTAGTATCTTGCACAACAGGTCCCAGAGATAAGTTGGAAAAAGATCTTTTCATGTGGCTATTTTGCAGATTTTTGGGGAGGGGGTACAGTAGTGGGGATTAAATCCAGTGGCACTCTACTACTGAGCTACATTCCAGACTTTTTATTTTATTTTGAGATGGGGTCTCACTAAGTTGCCCAGGCTGTCCTGGAACTTGCCACCTTCCTGCCTCAGCCTCCAGAGTCACCAGGATTACAGGCATGTGATACCTCATCCAACTTGCAGATCATTCTCAATAACTGTCAACATTTCAGGGGCTATTAATTCTATAGTTGAAAAGTAAGAATTAACAAGTACTTTCTCTACCAGAGTTGAAAGCATAAAGAAATTTGCTTTGAAATTCAAAGCCATTTAGTAATTGTGGATTTATGGAAAGTTTACAAAAATTGCCAGTGAGGGGTGGGATGGTGGCTCAGTGGTAGAGCGATTGCCTGGCATTGTGTGAGGCATTGGGTTCAATCCTCAGCACCACATAAAAAGAAATTACAATAAAACAAAGGTACTGTGTCATCTACAACTAAAAAAAACAAAAACAAAAACACTTCCAGTGAGGCTAGAGAATAGGCAAAGCTCTACCTAGTTCTCTATACTTGCCTCTTATAGTAAAGATTTTTTTAGGTAGTTCAAAAGGACATTCGATAATAATTATATATCTTAATTATATTAGAAAACACCACACCAGCAATTCAATAGATTGTTGCTTAGAGGGAGGCTAAGTCTAAAGAATAGATCAATTCAGATTTAAGGACACATTTTTAGTAAAGCATATTATATAGGCAGGTATGACCCAAATCACAAATATGTTCCAAATGGCTTTCATTTGAAAGGCACTGAAGGTCACATGGTTAGAGCATGCAATGCATACAAATCGGCTTGAATCTCAGGCTCTACCCTTTAAGCTCCTGGAACCGCTCACTTTTTATACTAGCAATGTCAGCAACAAAAGGGTTCTTCTCACTTTTTATTTCTTTGTAGACTATGAGAAAACAATTTATAAATATAGATAAAAATATAAAAATATGCTATAGTGGTAAGAAATATATATTAATACTTGTCCTCCCTGGATAGAATTTCTGTGGATAACCTTTTAGGGTTCATAATGCCAAGTAACAGATAAATCCAAAACCTAAAAGAAATCAAGAATTTATCAGTCAGGCACAGTGGCACTTGCCTGTAATCCCAGTGACTCAGGCTGAGGCAAGAGGATCACAAGTTTAAGGCCAACCTGGACAATTTAGAGGGTCCCTGTCTCAAAATAAAGAAGGATGGAGGATGCAACTCAAAGGTAGAGTAGAGTAGTTCAATCCCCAGTACCACCAAAAAAAAATAATTTTAAAAATAAATTAAAATAAGGATAAATTATTTATACCTTATGGATAAGGCACAGTGCTAAGTACCATGCAGTATTCAAAGAAGTACAAAACTAAGTTCTGATTGTGGCAGAGATGGCTGGTCATTCCCCTAATATTCATATCCTTCTTCTACTTTGTAACAGATTTTTAGCCAGGCATATAACTACCCAAAAGAAACAAATTTCTAAGCAAACTTGTAGCTGGAATATGACCATGTGACTTAAGTTCTGGCCAATGGGAAATGACATAGGAAACTTCCAGGGCAGGCATTTTTCCCCTTTAGCTGTCTGAATGTACAAGTAGGAGTGAGTCATCCTGGACCAGTAGATGCCAAGCAACACCCTAAAATACTGAAGTAATAGGACAGGCAGGGCCTAGGACTTTGTACAGTGGAGCTGCCATACTGGTTCACTCTTAAAAGAATAAAAAACAAATGTCTGTCTTACTTAAATCACTTATTTGGTGGCTCCTTCAGGTACAACCCTAGAAACCAGCCACTAGGTAGCTGGGACTAAAGGGGTATACCACCATGCCCAGCTGAAGACAGTCTTTCCTCTCTTGTTTCCTACAATACCCAAGAATAAAGAAGCACAGGCTGTGTTTAGTTCAGGGAGCTGGAGTGATCCTCACTTTTCAAAACACCATCTCTCCCTCTTGCTTTCTGTAGTCAACAAAACTATATTACTAATCTTCCAAGTAAAAATTTCATTTCCACTCATCTCTCTTCAAATATCAAATAAAGGTCCTTTGCTAATCCTCATATTTCAGATGCCCCAATCTCTTAGAGCCTTTATCAAACCCTCTCCCCTAATCATGTCACCTTCCAACTTTGCTGTTCAGTTGATTATCCAAGTCACAGAGCCCAGGTGTTCCTTTGATGATGTCATTACATTCCTTAAGACTGAATCTTCTACTTCATTATAATACATATATAACATATACAACAGCAACTGTGGATGGATGGCTCAAAACTAAAATCTCCATCCTTCAAGTTGAAGCTTTTCACCATTCTTTTTTGTTTCTTTTAATTTTGATGGAATTTTTGTTTATTTATTATATGTGGTGCTGAGAATTGAACCCAGTGCCTCACACATGCTAGGCAAGCACCTCACCACTGAGCTATAACCCCTGCCCAGCCTTTCACCATTCTCCCACTGTCTTCTTATTTCCTCTAATTCTTCAATCTCTTTGTCCTCCCAGGAAAATTTATTCTCTTTGGTCTTCCTATTAGGAGAAAGTCAAGGATTAAAGCTGGGCATGATGGTGCACACCTGTAATCTCAGTAATTCAGGAGGATAAGGCAAGAGGATCACAAGCTCAAGTCCAACCTGGGCAATTTAGCAGAGACTGTCTCAAAAAGAAAGGG